CTACACCATGGTAGGCCTCACTTCTAAGCCACCACTACACCACAAATGCCCCCCGCTGCTGCAGTGTGCAGCCACATGGATGCCCCTCTGACTACTGCACTATGTTCCCTCATGGGTATGTCTCATGGGTATGCCCGATTGTAGTACTGTGAGCCTTGGCAGACGCTCCCTTAGTTGGCACTACACCCACCCCCGCTCCTTCCCGCAGACAGAAGCTCCCCTCCCCACCTACCCAGCTGTCCAGTCACCCTGCTCTGTGCCTCCACATCATAGAGGCAGAGGCACAGAGCCTGCCATAGTTAAATTATGCAAAGTTATACAATTATGCATGGTCATGCCTATTAAGCACAAAATTGCACAGGCACATAATTGCATAATTCCCCAGGGCATATCTAACAACAGCCAGAGCTTTGCTGTCCTCTTGTCACAGTCAGCGGGCAGTGCGGGGGGAGCCCCAGAGGAGCGGGTGGTCAGGCGCATCCCCTCCACCTCATGGCACTCGCAGGCCAGTTCTTGCCCCCATCCCCCAGCGAGGCAGCACAAGGCAGCCTTTAGCCCAGACAGAGATGCTGAAACGCAAGTCCACCCCTTTCGCCTGGGGAGAGCGAACACAGCTAATGTTTCAGCCTGTTTAACCACTTCCTCCCCTCGCGCAGGAAACCTGACCTAGTTTCTCCCTGGGACGGCTGCCATTCTGCTCCCGATTCCTACAGGGAAGAGCTGGGCCCGCAGGGCCAAGTTGCCTGATGTTTCCAGCAGCAATCAGGGCTGATTCAAGCTTGGTGCCTCTGCTGACTTCACTAGGGCCTGACCTAAAGAGACTGTTGATCCTCTCCCAGCTCCACACAGTGCAAGGCCCAGGCACTCATTTTGATTTCCTATTGAGCTTGAAGTGCCAAACGGTGGGTCCCCATGCCCAGCATTAAGCAGCTCTGGAGCACCAGTCCCTTGTTCCAATACCAGCTCTGCAGGCTCGCTACTCCAGCACATTGGCCCAAGCCGTCCCCTCCCCTGCACTGATCCTGGTCCCCTTCTGGCTTGCTAGTGCCCGGTACCCATCTCACACCTGGCAGGAGGGTGCAGCTCCTTCACCCCTTACCTTCTCCGCAGCTGTACTGCTTGTCCTCGTATGGGGTGCCCGTGTACTCCAGCAACATTCGGATGGAGTGGGCCAGCTGCAGAGGGGAAAGGGGGAGCGTTGGACACTGCAGGTGCCTTGCAGTGGCATGCCTGCCCTTTGAGGAAGACCACCTGCCCCTGAAATCAGGATCAGGACAGCCTGCCCCTCTCCAAAGAGGCAGAGAAGCCAAGCCCTTGGGCCCACGCTCCCAGGCGCATAGCACACATGCCAACGCTTTGCCGCGGGCCAGGGTGGCTCTGCGGCATCAGCAGGGTTAGAAGCTGCCTCATGGGGAGCCCTGACCCAGGGCCGCCATCGCTGAGACTGCTGGGCAGATAAGGCAAGAAGGCAGTGAGATCCCCCACAACTGCCATAGCAATAGGGGAATTTAAAGACAAGAGTCAATGGAAAGCCTGGCTGGGAGGGGGTTGAAGGGGCTCCTATTGCTGAGGCAAAGGGGGCACAGGGAGGACTCTGCTCCGGGGTGGGATAGCCCCTGTGCATTGAGACCCTGCCCCCCCAGCCCTCCCCCACGAGCCTGGGGGCAGGGGCACCTCCAGGGTCTGGTGGGAGCGGGAAAGGGAGGCCAGGCAAGGGGGGTCCAGGAGAAAGAGGGCTGTCACCCCACCCCCCGCATGGAGGTTGCCTGCTGTCCTCCCAGCACTCACCCCACGGATGTCCCAGTAGCCTAGGATGACACCCATGCTGTGCTCCAGCCTGCCTTCCCCAGGACTGCAGGTCCTGCAGCAGCTGGCTTTGCTTTTCAGCCTCGCCAAACTCGTTTCAGAGAGGCAGGCCAGGCGAGGGGGTGGATCCGGACCCTCCCTCCTCCTGCATTGCCCTGTGGGAGAGCAGCTGCATTCCTGACTGTGCAGCCCCACAAGCACTTGAACCTTGCCCTTGTTCTCCCCATCCTGAACAACCTCGGCAGGCGGGAAGGGAACCGTGCTTCCTGGGCACTGGCCCGAACCCAACTCACCCCTGTGCCAGCTGCTGCTCGCAGGTGAAGGGAATCGGAGTGGCCCTTGGGGAGGGCACAAAGCTTAATTTGAGGCACAGCTGCCAAAAAGTTTTTTGCAGTGCTCCAGCCAACCTGTGGACCTCTTCCAGAGCACCACTGAGCTGAGGGACTCGGTCTTTCCTGTCCCATTAGATGCACTGATGCCTGTCCCCTCCCCGATCCGCCACATGCCCCACACAGAGGCTACAGTGCCACTGTGGCACCAGTGTCACAGCCCTCCCCCCCCCCTTACAACCACCTGGTCATGTGCATACCAGTTACCTACATGCACCGACACAGCGACTGTACTGCCTGCGACAATGCCAGCGGCAGCGGCTTTCCAAGGGCTGCAGTTAGAAGCTGTGGCAAAGAGAGGAGCTGCTCAGTTCTGGGGCCACTGACCCCACGACACTAACAGGACTTGGCCAGGTTTGCAGCACCGTTGGTGCCCTGCTCTCAGGCCAGAAGCCAACTGGCTCTCCCCTCTCTGGGCTGCTACTAGCCCAGCCCTGGCCAGGCTGCATATTTACTGAGTATTGTTCCTAATGAGTGCAGATAAGCGTGTGCCCCTGGCAAGTTCGCAGCACTGTTTCAGTCCCAAGGCTGCACACACAAACGCATTGTACATCCACCCTGCACTGGCACCGGTGACAGATGCTGCTAATCTCTGCTACCCTCTGTCCTTTGCTGCTGCTTCCAGCTGTTGACGGACTTGAGCTGGTGTCCCATCTTCCCTGCTAAGGTGCTTCTTAGGACATCCTGCAGGCAACCTTGCTTCCTCATGCCAGTGGGTTTCCACTTGGTGACTTGAGCTGGGAGTCTGTGTGGCAGCGCCCAGAATGCGGGCTCCAAGCCTGGCCAGTGCTGCCTCCTGGTTCGGGTAACACCAAGATGCTGGCTGGCGATTTCTTCCTCAGTGCTGAAGTCTTTCCATCCAATGCACAATCTCAGGGGGATGTGTGGACAGGGAAGGGGTCCCAGAAGACCGGGAGACAAGGCCGTGGGGAAGGAGAGCAGAGGCAGTAGCTCTGGTCCCAGGGATCAAAGTTCTGTTTCTGTCTCTGCCAAAGACCTTCCTATGGGATATTGGGCCCTGCTTTCCATCTGGCCCAAGTAGCAATAACACATCCTTGCACTGCAGCGGGTGTTGCAAAGCCAACTCCATAACCAACTGCACACTTACCTGCCAGGAGGGTAGAGGCCACTTAGATGCCCAGACAGCTGTAGCTGGAGGCCAGCATTGAAGCACCTCATATTTGCCTTTCAAAGACAGTGGTGAGAAGACACTGCTGCTCCTGGGAAGGGGTCTGCTAAAGCAGATGTGCACCCCACCCCACTCCTGAATGAAGCTCCTTGAAGGTTAAGGAGGAGGGTGTCTGATAACCAGGGCCAGTGTCACCTTCTGCCCCATTCACCCCGTGTGCACCTGTGGTAGCAATACGTTCCCCGGTGCACCCACCGGAGCAGAGAAGCTGACTCCAACCATCCCCTGACCCCCACGACTGCCCCTTGATTTGGGTGAAAACTGGAAAACCCAGAAAAGCCCAGCTGTTACTGAAATCAGGATCAGATAAACAGAGCAGGCAGATTTTCATGACTGTCAGGTTTTCCTGGCTTTTCCATCAAAATCAGCACTTGATAACTGGGCAGGACACAGCTCAGTCTGTGTGCAGTGGCATCCTCTGCTCCAGCAATTCCCAATCTGTGGTACAGGTACCACCAGTGCTACGCAGACAACCTGGTACACATTAACAGATTATAATTGCTTTATATGATAAAAAATGTGCTGGTGGTTGTATCTTACTTATGGTTGTATCGTTTTAAGTTGGTGGTGCACAGAGTTTGGGAACCACTGCTCTACTCAACGCGGGGGGGTGTCACTCAACCACGCAGTGCCCAGCACTATGGGGTCCTGTTCTCAGCTGGGTCCTTTGTAGGCCCGTATCAATGGCCTCAGGACCAAGGGGGAAAATCCTGTCCTTATGAATGAGCAGCACCTTCTCCCATGTCCTCTGTGGGATGCCTGAGATAGTGGCCACTGATCCCACAAAGCCCTTCCTGGCTTGGGTGGAGACTGAATCCCCAGCAAAAGGCAACCCAGAGAGAAGCCATGGGCAGCAACATGAGCTGTGCGGACCTCAGCCCTTCGGCACGGGGAGTGGGTGGCCTCCTGGCTGCCAAGGGGTCAGGGGGCTGCAAAGACAGCAAGGGTGAGGACCCACTAGGGGTGGAAAGGTGCAGAGGGGCTTAGGCCAGAAGGCCCCAGGGTCCTTGGTGGTTGCTTGAAAAGGGACACCCAAGGCTCAGCTTGTCCTCTGGTTTCTACATAGATGAAGAGCTGATGACACGATCTCAGGCTCACAAAGCTCATGCTTTACCATCTCGGATTCAGTTAGTTTATAAAGGTGCAAATCTGCCCAACCTTCTACAACACAAGCCATTGGAGAGCCCAGGGGTGCCACCTTCGGGCAGCTTCAAATATTACATTCAATTGACCCAGTGAGAAGCCTTGCCCAGAGGGGCATGGGGCTGGGAGCACCGCAGCACTCTGCTAGGCCAGTTGCTCTGCAATACCCGAGATGCAGGCTTGGCTGAGGAACTGGAGAGTGCAACTCTCCATCCTGCTGGAGGTCAGCTGAGATGGCCAGAGTGCTTCTTGCTGGCTTCCAACTGGTTCGCTCTCCTGGAAAACATGCAGGTTCCTTTCGCATTGCTGGTTAATACTTGGGCAGCTTGTTTTGTGCCTTGGGATGAAACCCATTTTTGGTGCTTTTGATGAAAGATGAAGTTTATATTTTCTGGTTTTGTTTTTCTTCCTTTGACCTATTAGGTGTGGACTGGCCCCACTTAGCAGAATAGCCTCAAGAGGTTTATAAACACTCCCCACCAGTGACGGAAGAGAGACTTGCCTTGAACAAAGTATGAAACCCTTTGTTCAAAAGGCACGAGAAGCTCCTGCAGGCAGCGGCAGTGCTGTCAATGGCAGGAGCATAGCGGTGGCAAGCAAGGAGCTCCGCAGGCAGCCACGGTGCTGTCACCAGCGGGGCAGTGCGGTGGTGAATGCCAACCAGCGGTCAGTGACCACCCACAGATGCTGCCAGTGGTGCTGGCGGTGAGATGAGGGGTAGCGAGTGGTGACCAGTGTTGGTGGCTTCCTCTCTAAAGGTCACTAATTATTTCTTTTGAAGAATTATTATAACAAACAGTAACCAAGAGACTTTTCTCTTTGAATCCTCACCTACTGTCTTTTCAGTAGTCCTGAGGCCACATACAAGTTCTAGGGTTAACAAAAGCCCATGCTTGACATTCTCAGGATGCCTTTTACCACCATTCAAAAGCCAAAAAAGGGGAAAGCTCCCTCTGCAGGTTCCCTTTAACTGATTGAGAAATCATTGCTGTCGATGACTTTATCACCCAATTGTAAATGAATCCTTCCTCTTCCCTCCTCCAAGAGGGATTGCTCCCTACCCCAAATCCACTAACCCACTGCATCATCCAGATCAGAAGAGACAGCAGCAGGGTGGTACTTTCACCTTTGGCACTTCAGTGTAGTATTTACAAACCCACTGGCTGCTCTTTATGGAGAAACTTTGAGCTTTCAAGAGATCATAGACCTTCAACTCCTTGTTACAGTGACCAGAGTGGAGCACCCGCAGCCTGCATTCCTGGGGTTTACTGCCATGCCTTGGTGTCCTGTTCTGTCCAATGAGGGAAGGGAATAAAATCACCCATCTCCAGGGACACTGGAGGGTGAACCCAGTCCAGGACTGAGCCGCAGCAAGTACTGAGAACAATTCTTATTTTAAGACATCTTCACATATTTGGGCCACAGAAATCAAGGTGTTGTGAGTTCAGTCTGGATATAGCTCTGATGGCTTAGTAGCAGGTGCCCTAGTGCCAACCTCCCCCTTGCCCCTACCCCCCAATTCACACACGAGGAGTTTTACTTAAATAGCTTCTATTTATTTCTCATGCTCTTTTTTCAAACACGACATTTCAGAGCAACAACCCAGTGCTGGACAATTCACTCGGACAACACACAGATTCCAAGGCGACGGCAGGAGATGAAGCCCATCTCCAAGGTACAAAGAAATATCCAACTACCTTGTTTATTGATACGTAGCACGGAGAAGCAAGATTGGAACCAGCCAGGCGGGGTGTGGTGGGAGCACAGGACAACCGGGACAGCTGGAAACAACCCTCGCAACCAAACGAGTCTACCCGCCCAATCCCACAACTGAGGTCTGTAGGGTCCCTCTGGCTTTGAAGCCTGCTCACCTGCATTGCCCTGTGACAGCACTGGCCAGAGATCCAAGAAGGGCCTAGCAGCATCTCCTAAGTTTACCCAGTATGAGGACTGGACAAGCGTGGTTCTGCAACCCTTGCCAGACACAGGAACGGAGAGCTCTTCTGTCACCCACAAGGACAGTTGAAAAAAGCCCTGACCCCTGCTAAGTGCTTGGCTCCCGGGATCTGTTATTGGGTGGGCCTGCCAAGGGGGGCACAGCAAGCACAGTGGCTCACATGGGGTAGCTGGGACCTTCAGGCCTTCTCAGCCATGAGGAGCACCCAACCTGCTGCCTGCCCTGGAAAGATGCCCCCTGTGCCCCAGCAGCACGCTAACCCAGTGTGGGTGCACACACTGCTCATAACTACGTGTCCAAGGGCAGCGGTGGGGGCTGGCATTCAACTGATGACTCTAGTTGGGCCAAACACCTGCAGAGCAAGCACTGGGTCCTGGAGCAGGGAGACTGCTCTCAAGGCATTGTGGGAAGCAGGGATCCACGAGAGCTCTGCCTCCAGCCATGCACAGCAATAAAGGGCTCTCACGCCCATGCTCTAACCCCTCACAGCCACCCCTGAACTGCCTTAGATGGCTTTCCAAGGCTAAAGTCCTTGCCCACAACAGGAAGGTCATTTCCTACAGTGGCAAAGCGTAGGGGGTGCATGTGCACCCCCTGAGAGCACTGGTGCACCCCCTGATCGGCGCGCTCACCATTTAGGTGATGGGCAGGGGGGGCAGGCAGGAGCGCTCACGCCCCTCCCTGCAAGCGCTGGCTGATCAGTGCAGCTGCTCCTAGAAGCGGCTGCAGCCACTCCCAGAAGCGATTGGCCATGGGGGTCCCCCCAGACAGCAAGATCAGCCGGGGGTGGGACCCCCCCCCAGTCAGCAGTATTGGCCATGGGGGGACCCCACACAGTCAGGGGCACGTGCCCCCCTCCCCCCCGACTAGGGCAGCACCAGTCTCCCATGATTTCCTAGATCCTCTTAATGGTGCCCTAAACCCCCATTTCCCCATATGATGCTGCCAACTTCCCCCCCTCCCCTCCAACAGCTGAGGGAGAGAGAACGGTTGGGTATAATGCTACTCTGGTAATGACAAAGGGACCAAGCACGGGGACAGCTGGCCGTGGGGTGCAGTGAAAGCTCACTGATGTGCAGTGAAGCAAGGGGGCCCTTCATGCCACAGATCACAGGAAAAGAGTCAACAAGCAGCAGTGCTGCTAGCTGAAGATGGGCATGGCCCCGCAAGGAGGGCTGCTAGGGCGGACAGGTTTCCAGCCCCTACAACACGGCACATGCAAGCACAGAACTGGCACCATGCACAGACAGAGGCTGCTTGCTCCTTGGACACCAGCAAAGTGTAGGAACTGCCTGTGTCTCCTAAGGGAAGCAGATGAGAGTGCCCAAGAAACAGAGCTAGCTGGATCTGCCCTGATCAAGAGGATCTAAGTTAAAGGGCTAATAAAAAACAAGACCCACATTATCCCATCCGCACCCCACCCCCACCTACCGATACATGATTGCTGAGGCAGACAGACATTCAGATGGACAGACAGATAACAAGAAATGCTCCGCCTGACTGACACTAGATGCGTACAGAGTTAAAAATGGCAAGGCCCAGCCTTTTCCCTAGCTCTCTGGCTGGGTTGAAAGGCTTTTCCTCCATGCTACCCCAGGCCAAGAGTGAGGGCCAGGGAGGACACCATCCGCTGTCCTGGCCTGGAGGATTTGGGCATCACAGTTTGAGAAGTCGGGAGGATAGATCCTCCCTTATTTAAAAAATAACACTAGCAAATGGCCCCGCTGGAGCCATGGCACAAACAAGCCAGCTAGCTGGGGTGGGAGCAGCACTGCGGCAAGCTGGGTACTGGACAAGGGCAAAGCTTGGTTCTCAGCCTCTTGCCCCACGGCAGATCTGGCCACAGGGGACTGTGGTCCTAGGAGGCACCCAACTGGCATCAACTCAAGGCAATGACTGTCAGACGCAACACAGGCTCCTGCCACGCACAGAGCAGTACCTTGCTCAGCAGGAGCAGACAAACCACCAGTGCCGAGGCACATCCAGTGCTCAGGGCTCTGACACCATCCAGCTCCCCAGCGTCCAGCCCTAGGGTACATCCCCCTGCACACCTGCACCAGGACTCGTGTGGTCCCAGACGTGTGAGCCCCCCACACGCCCAGCCTTCAACGGCAAGCACTACAGAGGGCCTGGGCACTACCACCCCCATGGCCTTGCAGAAAGTAAAAATAAATCCAGAGTTTGAGAGAACAAAAACCAAACCAACAACTAAAAAAAGGCACCAGCACGTTACCAAGGGAGACTGCTAAGGAACCAAATTAACACCTTTCGAGGGGGAAATGCAGAGGGAAAGAATGCACTGAAACCAACAACAAGAAAGAAACAGGGGCCACGGGGGACAGGAGCCCAGACCCTACAGAGATGGCAGGGGGGGTTGCTCATGCTCTGGGACAGCCTCCAGCCTGCCCAGCCCCTGTGGGCAAGAGCAGGGGCCAGGGTCCTTCACTGAGGCCCCGGGCTGAAGTTCAGGATTAAGGAGTCCTCCTCCTGGATGGTCTCCAGCTCTTCTGTCTGCACGGCCTGCGTGATAAGGGTCAGCTCCTGGCACAGCGTCTCAAAGCGGTAGCCCACCCGAATATCCGGCACATTGGTGCGTCGGATGTCGTTCCCCTCAGGCCCTTCCTTCAGGTAATTGGGGCCCAGCCAGTAGCTCTTCACCTGGGAGGGAGAAAGCTATGGTCACGGTGATGGGTTCCCAAGGGGCTTTTACCTTGATGATCCCATGCTGGATAAAAGGCAGGGTAGATTTGCATCTCAGAGACTAACCAAAGTAGTTCTAGGCAGCTACACATACAGCACAAGCTTCCCTAGGCTAAAGCTCACTGTGGCAGGGACGGCTCTACTCTCCCAGAGGCAATGCAGCCACAAGAGTGCAGCGAACACTGGCTGTGCATCCACAGGCAGGCTGGAGTTACTGGCCACGTAGAACCTGGGAGACCCTATTCCCTGCTGGAGGGGCCATGAGAGGCTTAACAGACATGAAGGGACTTTGCAACCTGTTCTGTGCCTTACCCAAGAGACAACAGAGCAGCCCCTAGCATGCAGAGCCCAACAGCATAGTAAAGGGCTGATTCGGACACAGCCGTACCTCTGAGAGCACACAGCCTGTTGCTGCTGGGAGATGGGGTGCCGTGGCGGACGTGAGGCACAGCACCCCTGACTACCAGGCAGATGGGGTGCATGCAGAGGCTACAGAGCAGCGCCCCAAGCACCTCAGCCAGCCTGGACCCCACCATGGGGTTCAGGCTGGTATTGGACTCTGCTTGTTGGGGTGGGAGGACCAGTCTTACCTTGTGGGAAAAGCCACTCATGAGCACGCTGTTGCGCGCGAGCTCGCACATGTCACAGGAGCTGAGCTTCCAGACCTGCGTGGCGATGCTGTACTCCTCCATCAGGGGCTCCTGCAATAGCACAGCTGATCAGAGCAGGCCACCCACTGCACCAGCCCTCCTGCCCCGGTGACTTCCCAGCAACTCTTGTGTAGCGGGACGGAGGAGACAAGGTAGGGCAGGGATGTGCAGAAGCGGAGCCAGGTCTGCAGGCACTGGGGCAGCAAGTTTGAAGCAGCCACCAGCGGGCAGCATCTCTGCTCGCCACACCCAGGACTGCTGCCAGCCTAAAAGGGGCTCTGCCCAGACCCTGGATCAACCTCCCCAGCAAGGATCAGGGGCTTGGCAGGGTCAGCTCTCACTGCTGCACCTGTCAGAAGCAGCCTCCTCCCTGCCGCAACCATTTCATCATCCAAACTCATTTAATGCAACGGGCAGGGACTTGCGGCTTCCCCTCCAGCAGCTGCAACAGAGCCTGCACCACTGCTCCCAGCACCTAAACCTGCCCCCAGGCCTGAACCTGTGGGGACAGTGTCACACTCTCCCCAGGGGCCAGCCACAGAATCCCCCTGCTACTCCAGCACAGGCCAGGATGGCCAAGCCAGAGGCTGTTCCAGTACATAGCCAGGGTGGGGTGGGTTTCCCTGCCCTGGCCTCCTTGCCACACCCCCTCATGCCACTAGAAAGCTCTCCTGGTCTGTGGGTACCCAGGGTTGCTCTGCCTGCCTCTACATCATCTGGTGACATGCAACCACTGCAGCCGCGGCTCCCCACTAGTCCCACCCAGGGTCCTGGCATCTCTACGAGGTCCTGCTGCCAAAGCTGTGTCACGCCCCCTGGGGCTGTCTAGCCAAGGCGTGGGGCATGATGTTGGCAAGGCTCACCTTGGTGAAGTGGAACTGCAGCGGGTCGTCAGTGGAGAGCGAGACCACGAGGCCACGGGACAGGTACTCAGGCAGTGGGTTGCGGTGGTAGCTCAGAAATAGGCTGTTGTTGCTGAGTGGGGACATGGCGATGCCTATCTGGGCCAGGTAGTAGAGGTACTGCAGCACGGGGGCCTGCCCGGGGAAAGCCGGGTTATTGGAGCACAGGGACTCGCTCAGCCGGGCTATGCACAGTGCCCCCACAAGGGACTGCAGACAAGCCAGGGGCATGCACTCACCGCCAGGCTCCCTTAGTCCTGGGGCACCCGCATCCCATCACTTGGCAACAGGGACCAGATCCCCCTCCCGCACAGGGGCTCCTGAGATGCCAGATTGCCAGGGCTGCCCCTTTATTTCAGAACTCACCTGGTTCTCCTAGCATCACCCATCACCCCAGTGCCTGAACCATGGTCTGCACCAAGCATGGTAAAGACACTGCCATTGCCTGTGCACCGAGAGCATCCAGCCTGCCCATTGCCCTCTCCCAGGCTCCGGTGGCCAACCGGCCAGTCCAGCGCTAAGCTCCCCTTACCTTGCGGAGCAGGAGGCCATGCGAGATGTTCTCTGACAGCATGAAGCCAGACACCAGGTGGTGGATGGGCCCTGCTTCCCCACAGTGTGGGCGCAGCACAAAGGTGTGGAAGCCCCTCTTCCTGGAGGATGGCACCAGAGCAAGGTTAGGGATGGACTTGGGGCTGAGCCACTGCCTGTGTGGCATGGGCAATGAGGGGCCACTGTGCCACCCCACACACTAGGGGAGTGTCACGTGGGTGACTAGACAGGAGGGCACATGCAAGTCTCAGGCTCTGGGATGAGCCCAACACCCTGTGGCTGGTTCTACAGGAGGGCACTCATGAGCTGCTGAGGACGGCAGTGCTCTCCAGTGGGGCTCACCCATGGGGGATGTGCCTCTGAGTGACAAGATTTGCCCTGCACCAAGAAGGGGGGACAGGAGAGGCAAGGGCTCCCCTACCTGCGCAGGTGGTTCAGCACAGTCATGTTGGCGTACATGTAGTACAAATAGTATGCGTAGGGCGGGTTGTCTTCTTCCAGCCAGGCCCCAGGCAAGGGGCTGTCCAGGTTGAAGATGTGATGCTCAGGCTTGGATTCATCATCCACACTGTCAAAGCCGTCCACCTGGCCACCCAAGATGCAGAGAGGGGAGAGAGTGTGAGATGCCAACCAGTGTCCATTGCTCAGGTCAGCCCGCCCTGCCTGGGGACTCCTCCCAAGCAAGCCCAGTGGAGCCATGTGACTCCACCACAGACGCCTCTGCAGGCACAAAGCCCCAGTGAACCACTGTGGTGCCCAGAACAGTGGCACTTCCCAGGGGGGTGTCTGACATCTGCCCCTCCCCTGGGGCCTCCTGCATCCCCTTAGTGACTGTAATGCACCAGGCAGCCTGTGCTTAGCAGCTGCCCAGCCCAGGGGTCCCTGATGCAGCCCTGGCACAGGTAGCTCTCACATGCTCCAGGAAGAGGTGCAGCTCTGGGTGGCTGGCAGGGTGGATGGTGGCTTCAAAGAGGGGCAGGAAGATATTCTCCAGCATCTCCTGGAAGTTGGCCAGCTGCCTCTTGGTTCGGTACACATCGCTGTTGGAGAGGGAGGGAGGGCGCAAGAGGTGGTTCAGAGCAGGGCACTTGGGCACAGTGGTCAGCCCAGCCCCTCGGGGCCCTGACCAAGGCCGGACCCGGCTCTCACATAAGCTCCTTCTACTCTGGTCACTACAGCTGACCCTAATTTGCATCCAGCTGGTGGCAGGTTACTCCTGATTTACACCAGGGCATGAGGGGGAAATCAGGCTACCCACATGACCAGGCAACTGGCACTTATTTTGGCCCATCTGGATTAAACCAGGCTGCTGAGGCTCAAGACCCCTGCCTGGCCCTGCTCTCCCACTCTGGCCCCTCCAGTCGTCTCACTGGTTCTTGCACCCAGCTTCCTCTGCCGAGCCTGCTCCTTCCTGCACTAATGTCAAGCAGCTTGTGGTCCCTAGAAGCTGGCTTCCCAATGCCCCCACGTTGTCATTCCCCTCCAGCCACCCCTCACTCCCTGGGGTCAGGAAGCTGCTGTGCAGCACAACTAGGGGCAGCAGGGCTGGCCACGGGGGTTATGCTGTGGTCCTGCCTCACCCCCACTCCCCAGGACCTGGAGCAGGCACCCAGCACTGCCACCCGCTCCCCTCCTGCGCTTTCAGTGGCCGTGGGAACACGGGCTACCACAAGTTGTCCCCTCCACATTCCCTCCACTTTCTCTGCCGGCCCAGCCATGTTGACATTCCAGCTGGAGAATCGGCTCTCAGCAGGTTTTGCTCATCCCTACAAGGTCTGGTCCCAGCAGGGAGAGCACTGGCTCCTCCTCCGGCCTTCCCATCCCCCAACCAGTTCTCCTGTAAGGTGCCACCCTGCTCTGCCTTCTGCCTGACCTCACACTCGCACAGCTAACTGCATTGCCCCCACCGGGGCCCTCCAGCAGCCTTGGGCAGAGCAGGCCTGGCACGAATGACCAGAGCAACAGGGAGCACAATGCCTGGCTTCCACTGCCTGGGCCTTGCCAGTCCCTGTCAGCAGAAAGGCTGTAATAAGTGATTCCCCCATGAATTCCTCTCTTCCCTGGGAGACTGCGGGCTTGAGGTTAGCAAGAGCCTTGGCTGGAAGGCAGTTTGTGAAAGGGCAGAGCCTGACTGGATATACCTGGGCTGGAAACCCCATCAAGCCCTGCCAGCTGTGCATACAGCACTGTGACCCCTCCTGCCCAGTCCCACCTGGCAGCACGGTACTCACAAGAGACGGGGCACCTGCACCAGCCAGCGCACATTGTTGGAGTGCACCTTGTGGTACACAGCCCACCTAGCCAGCTTGTCCCACTCGTCCCGTGAGCGGCCATAGATGGAGAGGCGCAGCTCCGCGTTCTGGTACTTGCTCTCCTCCAGGTCAGACATCACCTCCTACATGGAAGGAGGTCACTCAGTGGGAAATGCCATCCCAACCAACTGGCCAGGCTGGCAAACGCTGGGCAAAGGTCTTGCATGTGCCCCAGCAGGGCAAGACCCTGCTTACACACTCCAGTGCAGCAGCACAAAGACATGCGTGTAGACTTGGCTTTGGCATGCACACTGCTTCACAGATCAGACAAGCACATGCATGCCCACCCAAGCCAGGAAGCACCAGGGTGCCACCTCATGGAAAATGAGGCACCCACACCATGTCCGAGTCTCAGCCAGCCACAGGCCCACTACTTCCTGTGTAGCCTCCCTCTCAGTACCAGCCCCCAGGCTCACGCACACAGGCTGGTTGGTTTTCATGGAGACAGTTCTCCAGGTCATTGCAGGGGTGTCAGCCTCCTGAAGAGGTATGTGGCCCAGGCAGCAATGCCAGCCCTCACCTTGATGATGTGGGCAAAGTACTTCCCTGAGACCCGGTTGTCCGTCTTGATGAAGATCTCACGCAGGATCGACTCCCCGATGGGGTTGTACTTGGCATTGAACTTGTCAAAGCGGTGGAAGGTGTTACGATCCTGTCGTGGGACAGAGACACCTCAGGGAAAAGGCAACAAGGAGAGGAGCTGGCACCTCTCCACTGACTAGTGCTTTCCAGGATCCCCTTCCTCAAGCTTCAACTCCTAGTACCTCCCACAAGGACAGGCTGCCAGACACTTGTAACCCCTCAGTCCCTGGTCTAAGACATTCAAGTTCCACGGCTTTCAACCCCGCTCCCTACAAGATGCTCCTTCTCACCCAGCTCTACCATCTCCTAGTCCCAACAGCAAAAGAAAATCCATTGAGCTCAGTTCAGCTCAGGCCATGGGAGACCAAGCTGCCCCTCGCACCCATGGCACATCTCTGTAGGCCAATGCTGAGGGAAGGCTGGATGCCTCTGCTCATTTCACGAGGTGAGCCAACAAAGGACAAGAGTAAGATAGCTGGTGCAGAGATAGTCTCTTCCCTCCAACCATGCCCCAGATGCGAACCATCACCCTCCCACAGCAAGCAGGTGGGTGCTGGATGAGAAGCACAGCAGGACAGCCTACCGCATGAACGTCCAGCGTGTCTACGCTGAGGTCGTAGGCTGTGAGGTTCATGGTCTCAAAGACCTCCTTTAGGGTCTGCTCCTTGCCCTTCTCCACATGCACAATCTCACTCAGGTGCTTCTTCATGGCCCGCTTGATGAAGCGCAACAGGTGTTTCTGGTTCATGCAGGAGGAGGCGTGGATGTGGGTGTCCACCTGTTCAACAGGGAGGACATGTGTGACTGGACCCCAAGGCACGAGGCCTCAGCCCACCCTCCACAGACAGGACTTTCACCACTTGGCGAGAGCCTGGAAGCTGTTACTGTTCCCACTGCCTGGGGGAGCCTCAGCCCCAAGAGAAAGGTGCCCACATCACCAGCACAAGTGTCTCCCTTTTCAGCACTAAATGGCTTATGCAGGCAATGACTCTAGAAAGGGATCAAAGCCTGTGGCACCACAGCCCATACAGCTGGGGGTGGGAAGCTGGGCTCAGCTGCCAGGCCAGTGATGTGACAAGGCCATGGGACAGAGGACAGGTACAGTACCTTGCGGATGTTGTAAAAGTCACGATGCGGGACCTTCTTCTGAGCCGCCAGCTCCTTCATCTCATTGAGCAGGACGTGCATCTGGAACTTGGAGCTCAGGTATTGCAGCCGTCGGTAGCAGAAGGATTTTCTGGCCAAGGGCAGGGCAATGGATTAGGATTCGGGACTAGCTACCATCCTTAAACCAGCCCTGCAATGCCCAGGGGCAGCTTCTGATTTGACACTCTGGACCCTGGCTTCCACTGCAGGACCCACTGATAAGATGGCATTATTCTTTCCATATTCCAGGGGCTGAGGATGGAGTATCCCATGTCCTCAGTCCCTGAGGCTGAACTGGCTCCATTCCCATACCAGGCCAACTCAGAGAAGGGCCCGGTTCTGCTGCTATGAGAGCCCAGCAGCCGTTCCAATAGAGCGGAGCGGGAGACCCACAGGCAGCAGCTGCTGCATAAGCCACATGTCCCAGCCCAACCCACACACAGCTCCCACAACACAGATGAGAGAAGGTGTTGTCCTTACATGGGACCATGGATGATCAGAGCCATCAGGAAGTTCATGTCAGCGATGAATTCCTGCAAATCAGGGTACGGCAGGTCCAGCTCCGTGTTCCTGCGAGAGGGAACAGGGCAGTAGGCTCATCACACAGAAACACAGCACACACCAAACAGGGAAACTCAAGACAGGAGATGCCTCAAAGCCAAGGCTCCCCACAGCAGCAGAGGACAAAGGGAGCTGGGGGCGCGGGGTGCAGATCCAGAAGGGATAAGATGCAGTACCGTGCGGGAGATCTTGTAAGCTCACTGCCCTGTAACAGGCTGAATAGACTCACAGGGAGATGGCATGCAATCCTGACACTCCCAGGGGGAGATCACTTTCCCAGCACGCACTTGGCTTCTCCCAGTTCCCCTTCTCACTAGACCAGGCACAAGGGGCTCCTACCCCACCAGCCCCCTTCACCTACTTGTCAGTGACATCCTGCTTGGTGTAGACATGGACCACGCCATTGACCATCTTGAGGCCAAAGCCCAGGTCATTGGGCATAGACTGGGGTTCACAGGTCTCGTAAGGGTGCCGGTCCGTGAATGGTGGGTGCACCGGAGCATCTGCAGACAGGAGCACAACCCCCAACTTTGGGCAATGCCTGGCAGTCCTGGCCACCAGTGTTCCCATACTCCACTGCAAACCACAGTGCATTGTACCCTCCTCCTCCCCCACACGCTCTTTCCCCTACCCACATTTCTGGCTGTGACCCCTCCACCACAAAGACTCCTCTCCCTCATGCTCCCCATCCAAGCACTCCTGGGTCTGACTGCCCCTACTTCGAGCTCTGCCTGAAATAAGGGCAGCAGGAAGTGCTAACTCAGCAACTGGGACAGGAGCCCAGTGGGAACTGAGAATATGGCTTCCAGCAGTGGCGACACATAGGGGATGCAGATGCACCCCATAACGGCAATGCTCACTGCTTAGGCGATGGGGAGTGAAGGGGCAGGCAGGAACACTGGTGCCCCCCCCCAGCAAGTGCTGGCCGATCGCTGCACTCACTGTAGCCACTTTCAGGAATGACAGCAGCAACTTCTGGAAGCGGCTGCAGTGAGCACAGTGATCAGCCATCATGGGATCTGTCGTGGGACCCACCCCGCACCACGGGATCGCCCGTGGGGGATCCCACCC